TAAGGGCAGCAGAAGGCGGGGTACCAAGAACCTGCTGGAGCAGGGGAACAAAGTACGGTCTCCGCCGCACAGTGCCACCAGGGTCAACAACTCCTGCTCCTCCAGCTCCAGCACCTCCTGCGCCAGGGCCACTAACTCTAGCTCCTCCAGCTCCAGCGCCACCAGCGCCAGTAGTACCAGACTCCGTAAGGTCTCCAGCTCCAGCACCCTCAACACCACCAGTCCCGGCAGCTCCAGTACCCCAGGTACGAGCACCTCCAGACCAGTAGTCGCAGGACCTCTAGTAACACCAGTTCCAGCAGCAACTCCAGAACCTCCAGCTCCAGCAGCGCCAGCACCTCCAGCTCGAGAAGCTCCACTCCGAAGGCGCGCTCACCAAACAAACCACTCACGCAGCTGCTGCGGAGACAGTCTCGGCGAAGCACCAGCAGAACCTCCAGACGAAGCAGCACCGTGAGGCTCCGTACCTCCAAACTCCGCACCCTCCGACTCCGCACCCCCAGGCTCAACACCCTTAGGCTCAGCACCCCCAGGCTCACCACTCCCAGTCGCAACACCCCCAGGCTCAGCACCCCCAGGCCCAACACCCCCAGGCTCAGCACCCCCAGTCTCAACACCCCCAGGCTCAGCACCCGTAGTCTCAGCACCCTCAGACGCCGCACCCCTAGGCTCCGCACCCCCAGACGCAGTACGTCGAGCAGCACCTGAGTCGACAGCTACCTGAACAGGCGCAGGACCAGGGAGAGGGTCTACCTGAGAGACACCTAAGGGAGCAGGACCCACGGGCGGGAGAGGGTCTACCGGAGGGGGACCGGGAGCAAGGAAGAGCGGCGGGGGCGGGGGAGAGGCAGAGCGGTAGGGGAAGAGGCGGTAGAAGGGAACCGATTCGTCAAACGTGACGTCCTAAGAAGGGAAGACACGGCGCGAGGTGGGGTGGTAAAACTGCCAGCCAGGCGCGTCGGGGACAAAGCCAAGGAAGACGCGGGGGATAGCACGGGGGGAGAGCTTGTCCGCGGACGAATCGCGAACAAAGGCACGAGATCCCCAGAACCGGAACACCGACGCATCGCTAACCTCCCCCGTCCAATGCAGTGTGGGCGAGGTCTCCGGCAAGGAGACACGGGGCCACAGGTTGAGCTGATGTGCAGCGTACTGGACCGCAAACGGCCACTGAAAATGGGGAGCAGCCGCATGGATCATGGAGGTACGAGCGACCTCCATGACTAAGCCAATGCGGCGCTCAGCAATCCCATTTTGCTAAGGGGAGTCCGGAAGCGTGAACGACTGGAGAATGCCCTCCCCACGACAAAAGTCCCGCAAGAGGCTGGAGGAGAACTCACCACCTCTGTCAGAGTGCAGACGCAGGACAGGAAGGTCGTGGGCGAACCGCTCGCGGAGCTGGAGACGGACTCTGCGGATCCAAGGGATCAAGACATCAACGACCTGACCCTTGCTGCGCAAGGGGAAGACCGTGGTGTACCGCGTGTAGTCGTTAACGACCAGCAGAAAGTAGCGCTCGCGGCTCTGTCCACTGACGCGGGCTGGGTCCCACACGTCCATGTGGAGAGTCTGCAGGGGAGCAGTCGTCCGAGGGAACGAGGAGGAGTGAGGAGCGGCGCGCTGCCGCCCCTCGACGCAAGGGAGGCAGGGCGGGGCAGGCAAGAACGGCAGGGGAGGCAGAGACCTGGGGAGACCAGAGACAAGAAGACGAGAGTGCATGCCATGAAGGCGTGGCAGGGAGGGGTGACCCAGGCGGTGGTGCCACAGAAGAGTGTGGTGCGATAGGAGGCGACACGAGCAAGGGGGTGCTACCTGACCTGACGCGGACACCTGAGCAGATGCAGCTACCAGAGAAGGCTCGGTAGCGAGTGTGTACAGACTCGACCCTGGGCGACGAGTGAACGTAGCCAGGTGACGCCCTGCCGCGTGCACGTGCAGATCGACACACGCTGACCCCCAGGAGTGGTGGTAGTGACCATCCCATCCTGGAGGGCAGCGGTACTCACCAAGTTCGTAGAGAACGAGGGGAGGTGAAGACCTGACAGTGAGCCGGATGGAACCGCCGGACACGGGAGGACAGTGGAGGAACGTGCCACGACCGGGCCCCCGGAGGGGTCAGCCAGTCTGACCGAGACAGGTGCAGGAAGAGGAGTGAGGGTGGTGCTGTCACGAAAGAAACAGCGCGAGGCGCCGGAGTCCAACGGGAAGGTGTGCAAGGCCTCAGCAGGCGCAGTACCAGGGAGAGTACCAGACTCACTAGCACCTAGAGCAGCAGCGGCTATACCTGGGTCAGGCGGCACACATCGGTAACAGTCACCCTCAGCACTAACAGACTAAGCATACATAGCAGAAAGAATAGCATCAAAGTCTAGGTCAAAGATAGCAATCCTAGACTTAAGCAGATCTGCCCAGCGAGGAAGCTCGACGTCGTCACCAAACTCAGCACGCTAAGCGTCGTCGAGGCGGGAGAAGCAGCGGTGCTGAGTGTGGAGCCGCCCGCAAGTCTGACCAGCACGGTCACCCGTGCGAATGACATACGGGCAACTACCCGCAGACGCCCCACGCAGAAACCACTCACGAAGCTGCTGGGGAGACTGGGTCTCACTCCGACGCTGCTGTTGCTGACGCTGGCCACCCCCAGAACCGACACGCCGAGCGCCAGTCCCACCGCTTCCAGTCCCACCATTGAGCAGGCTCTGGGGGGGGAACACAGGGAAAAATGGCGCGAGGCCATGGACAGAGAGTTAAAGGCGCTGCAAGAACGCAACACCTGGAAAGTCGTACCCATCGGAGTAGCACACAACAAGACCATCCTCACGGGAAAATGGGTTTTCCGCGTGAAAACAAAAGCCGACGGACAATCGACAAATTCAAAGCACGCTGGGTTGTGCGTGGCTTCGACCAAGAGCAAGGGCGAGACTTTACGGAAACATTCGCCCCAGTAAGCCGACATACCTCACTACGGATTCTCCTCGCGATAGCCGCCATGAACCGGAAGAAGCTGCGGCAAATCGATGTTGCCAACGCCTTCCTCTACGCCCCCGTCGATGCTGAGATTTTCGTCAAACTCCCGCACGGGTCCAACGCATGCCCAAACCAAGTCCGACAGCTGGAGAAATCACTGTACGGGATCAAGCAAGCCCTGAGACTGTGGCAGCAGCACCTTCACGCCCGCCTAATCCGCATCGGATTCCTTCAACTACTGCACGACCAAGGGATGTATCGACTGGCGAAGGGTACCGACTACATTCTACTCATCCTCTACGTCGACGACCTCCTCTACATAGGCTCCACCGACACCATAACGACATGGTTTGAAGGGGAGCTGCAGCGGGATCTCACTCTCACCGTCACAACTACCGTGACACAGTACCTAGGATTGAACATCCAAGACGGCGACAATGCAATCTACCTCAGCGCTGAAAAGTACACGGACACTATCGCTAAACGTTTCGGACTCACTCCAACCGTCATCTCCACGCCATACCGCTACACCGACGGAAATAAAAAAGCCTCCGCTCTACTCAAACCTGCCGGCATCCGCGACTACCAACGGAAGTTAGGCTGCCTACTCTTCGCAGCCGTCACCTGCCGACCGGATCTATCCTACTCAGCTAGCCAACTCGCTACCTACCTCAAGAAGCCTGAAGCAGAGCACATGCTCGAACTCGACCGAGCACTTCACTACCTCGTCAGTACTCCGACGATCGGACTAACCTACCACAAGACCGGAACCACGATACCTAAGCTAATCAGTTACGTCGACGCAGATCACGCTGGAGAATCTGACAACGTACGATCTCGAACAGGCTACGTCTACAGACTCGAACCTATCGGGCCTATCTCATGGCAGTTGAACAAGCAAGAGCTAATCGCTCTCTCCTCAGCAGAATCAGAATATATCGCACTCTGCTCAGCCACCAAGGAAGGGCTATATCTTCGCGAATTACTAGAGGAAGCAAAATTGGCCCAGTTACCCAGCTTCTCTCTCTTCTGCGACAACCAATCGGCCATTCGCATAGCGAACAAAAACGGGTTCGCGGATCGAACGAAGCACATCGCCCTTCGGTACTTCTTCGTAAAAGACGAAATCGAGAAGGGAAGACTCGAGCTATCCTACTGTCCCACATCCGAGATGGCAGCTGATTACTTGACCAAGAAACTCAGAAAACAGAAGTTCGAGTACTGCATGCTGCTGACAGGACAAGGACACGTGATCAGCAGCGATACTCCAGAAGCGAAGGGGAGTGTTGGAAACAAGTAATTTAAACGCTTCTGAAGTATCGAAGTATCAACACGAAACGGAGCAGACTACAGCGAAGAAACACACGAGTCAACAAAAGCAACCGCTGGAGGTTACGCGAAGGTCAAAGGTCGCTGACCTTTGACTTGACGAAAAGTACAGTGCGACAGCAAGGACACATAACTGACTCGTTACTGAGCAGTTACCCGAGTCGGCACTGTATCGAACCGCAACAGCAAAACAGTTAAAAGTAGAACCTTTCATATTCCTTTGTAATCATATCAAAGCCTTGTATTTCCCTGCTATTAATCAACTTATCTTGTTCTCACACACCAGTACAAGGTGGTTCAAGCAATTCTTATATTAACGCTTCCGCAATTACAACATCTCTACTTCAACTCTGATCTTAGCCTTGAAAGATGCTAAGGGCTTATCTCAGCCCAACAATATGGGCTCGATGTATGTTCATAGTGAGCTATTCTATATGTTTGACACCATGCTCGGCCGATTCCTTGTTCGCATATACACTTTGAATCTCCCTATCCTTGAACATACTACAAACCCAAACTAGCTCGCAATCAAGGTGGACCGACACACATGCACTACTCAGCAAACCAGGCCTATAATGCATCACAATACAGTAGGTCAAAGCAGCCATGGCGAAGCTGCTCTTCAATTGCCCCCCCTCTTTCCCCTCTTTCCTCTGTACAAGGAAGAAGGTATTCTCGCAATTCACAATGCATGATTACTATGTGCATCAGCACTCCCACTCACTCTCATCATCGTCACCATCCAGCTCAAGTTTTCGCTCTCCACAAAAGCCATCCCAAGGCAATACATGTTCCGCAGTCCTTCTAGCAGTGACCACCAAGTTGGGCAACAGCATCCCCACCTCCCTTGCAACCAGCCTCAAATCCACATAGTCAGAACCCACTCCTCCACCATCTCCTCCACCCCCCAACACACCCTCGTTTCCACCTTCCCTGCTCCCCCTCCACCGGTCTCCAACAATCACTTCAGGAGACACCAGCAGCCGCCGCAGCCTGAACTCCTGCAACCCACAGCATCCTCGCACCTTCTTCCTTCCGTTCTCATGCCCCACACCCTCGGCTGCAAGGGCCTTCTCCTCCTCACACTCCCCATCTATCTGCACCACTTCAGCTACCCCATCATCTCTGTTCTTCTCATCGTTGCCAGCAAGCTCCCTGGCTGCGGCCAAGAGAGCGAGCAGGAAGGCAGAGGTCACTCCCGGGCATCCGAACAGGTCCAGCAGAAGGAGCCGTGGCAGCTGCAGTGGCGCTGGCGCACCGGCAGCAATGCCTGCACCCGCAGCGGCATCGGAACCAGGTGGGATATCCGGGGCAGCCCCAGCAGCACTGGCAGCACTGTCAACTGTAGCATTCACAGCCACACCCACACTGCCGTGCCAGCTATCACCGAACAGCGCTGCCACGACAGCAGCATCGTCCACCCGCGTGCGCGGCAGCCTCAGCACCTCCAGCCGCCTACATCTCCTTGCCAGCTGGCGCCACGCTGCGGGTCGCACGTTCACACAGCCGCCCAGACTCAGCTGCACCAATCGCGTGCATCCATTCGCAATGGCCAGCACCCCAGCATCAGTCACTCGTGACTGGACAGGAGGAAGGGTAACACGCACGGAGGCCCTAGCATAAGAGGAGGTGTAGTACAGAAACTCGTTGGTGCCACTTCCCCCAGCAGACGCGACAGGGATGAACCGCGCTAGCGGCTGGGCGTGCAGGGCGGTGAGCTTCGGGCAGGACTGGGAGATCTCCAGCAGAACAGCGGCTGACGCCAGGGGGAGGGCGAGGCGCTCCAGGAGAGGCAGGCCGCGTATGGCCCAGCACAGTGCCTCCTCGCTCCTCCCCGGCTCGCCATCGGGAGGGGGTGGGGGGCGCAGCACCTCGGTTCGCGACAAATCCAGAGTGGTGAGGTGGCGGAACAGGTGGCTCACAGCCTGCCACGTGGACGCGAGGGAATTGTGGGCGTGGAAGGAGCGCAGCGAGGAGGAGGACGGACGTGGGACAGACAGGCTGGCGCCATTGCCGCCGCTCCCGCCGCCGCTGCTGCTGCTGCTGCCGCCGCCGCCGCCGCCGCCGCCGCCGCCGCCGCTGCCGCTGCTGCTGTCTGCGCGGGTGGCGGAGCAGCCAGCAGCGAGGGCGAGCAGCAGGGAGGAGGCGGGAGGCTGATCCCAGGCGACGGAGCGATGGGGGGAGACGCACAGGCGGATGGAGGAGAAGCAGGGCGCCAGGGACGACCCTGACGGGCACCAGAAGAGGTCGCTGGCACTGGGGGGGGCAAGGGAGAGCGAGGCCAAGATAGATAGAGCATCCGACCCCGCTACTTCTGGCCCAGCATTCGCTGAAATATCTGGCGCTGTTGCTTTACCCGCCAATCCCCGCGCGCGTACGCGCTCCGCCTCTGCGCGCCCCGGCTGGGGCACGGCGCGCGGAACCAGCGCGGCGGACACGAGGGAGAGGCGCCGCAGCGATGGGAGGAGCGCGAGGAGCAGCGCCACCGACTCCCACGTGACGGCGTCGGACCAGAGCGAGAGCACCGTCAGATGCAGGAGTGTGCTGGCCACGTGCTCGACACACGCGACCGTGATGTTTGCTGGCGTGTCGAGGTTTAAGGCGCGGAGATTAGGGAGCGAGGCGGCGATGGTGTTCACGTGAAGGTCGGAAAGGAAGGAGCGCTGCGGCGGACGGTTTCGGATGGGGGGAGGCGGGAGGGGCGGAGGCGGTGGGGGCGAAGGCGGTGGAGGGAGCGGGGGGCGCGGACGGGGAGGCGGTGGGGGGTGCAGGACGCACGGACGGGGAGAAGGCGGAGGATGAGATGGGGAAGGAGGTGGGGTAGGGGGAGGGGGGGGAGGCGGGAGGGAAGAGGTAGAGCGAGGAGGGACAGTAGCAGTAGAAGCAGGAACGGAAGAAGGTGGGGGAGGAACGGCGCGAGAGGGAGGAGGAGGGGGCGCAGGGGCACGCGGAGGGGGTGGAGGCGGCGGAGGTGGGATGGTGGAGGAGCCGGCAAGCTGAATGCCGTCCGCGTGGCCCAACACGCGATCATGGCTCGGGTATGTGATCTCCGGATCATCACACGGGCTTAACCAGAACCCCCGCATGTCCACACACGTGGCAGGGCAGAGGAAATGGTCCGAGCAGAGATCCAGGCGCTTGAGCTGACGTGGCTCTTTCTTTAGAGACAGCACCACGCTCACGCCGCTCAGTCGGCCTGTTGCGGTCTCCCTTGCTGACCCCTCTGGGGCCCAGTCCTTGCACACTCCTCCACGATTCTACCGTGTCCTGCGGCCCCGTCGGGCTTGCTTTCGGGACTCCACCTCCCCTCGTTCTCTACGAACATGGTGAGTGGAGCTGACCTCCAGGACGTGTGGGTTGACCAGTTCACCCCTGGAGGTCAGCGTGTGACCCACTGCACTTGCTCTTGGACGGGCCGCCACCTGGCCACGTTTACCCGTCGGCCAGGGTCGAGTCTGTACACACTGACTACTGCGCCTCCTCCGGTCCCTGCGTCTGGTCAGGTAGCTGCGTCCAGTCAGGTGTTTGCTGCCGCGTCCAGGTCTAGTCCTGCGTCTGCCCCCTGCTCGTGTCGTCCTCTAGCGCACGAGACTCTCCTTTGGCACCACCGCCTTGGTCACCCCTCCGTGCCTCGTCTTCGAGGTATGGCCTCCCGTGCTCTTGTCTCTGGACTCCCCAGGTTCCTCCCTCCCCTTCCTCCGGGGCCTGCCCCCACCTGTGTTCCTTGTGTTGAGGGCCGGCAGCGCGCCGCTCCTCACTCCTCCTCGTTTCCTCCGACTGAGGCCCCACTGCAGACTCTTCACATGGACGTGTGGGGCCCAGCCCGCGTCCGTGGACAGGGTCACGAGCGTTACTTCCTGCTGGTCGTTGACGACTACTCGCGTTACACCACAGTCTTCCCCTTGCGCAGCAAGGGTGAGGTCCCTGAGGTGTTGATCGACTGGATCCGCGGTGCTCGTCGCCAGCTTAGTGAGAGTTTCGGCTCAGACCTTCCTGTTCTGCGTCTGCACTCAGACAGAGGCAGGGAGTTTTCCTCCGACCTCCTGAGAGCCTTCTGTCGTTCGGAGGGCATCCGCCAGACGTTCACGCTTCCGGCCTCCCCGCAGCAAAATGGGATTGCTGAGCGCCGCATCGGCATGGTCATGGACGTCGCTCGTACGTCTATGATCCATGCGGATGCTCCCCATTTTCTGTGGCCGTTCGCGGTTCAGTACGCTGCGCATCAGATCAACCTTCAGCCTCGTGTCTCCTTTCCGGAGACCACACCTACTCTGCGGTGGACGGGGAAGGTTGGCGATGCGTCCGCGTTCCGTGTCTGGGGATCTCGAGCTTTTGTCCGCGATACTACAGCGGACAAGCTGTCCTCCCGTGCCGTTCCCGGTGTCTTTCTTGGCTTCCCTCCTGACGCACCCGGGTGGCAGTTCTACCACCCCACCTCGCGTCGTGTTCTGTCCTCTCAGGACGTCACTTTTGACGAGTCGTTGTCGTACTACCGTCTCTTTCCCTACCGCACTGCCTCTCCCCCCCCCCCCTGCCGCTCTTCCTCGCACCAGGTACTCCTCCGGTAGACCCCCTTCCCCCCCAGGGTCTTGCCCCCTCAGGTGTGTCCCAGGTAGACCCTGCCGAGCCGGTCGAGGTAGCTGTCGACTCAGGTGCTGCTAGGGGTGCTGAGCCTGCGGGTGCAGGGCCTGCGGGTGCGGGGACTGGGGGTGCTGAGACTGGGGGTGCTGAGTCTGGGGGTGCTGAGTCTGGGCGTGCTGAGACTGGGGGTGCTGAGCCTGGGCGTGTGGAGCCTGAGGGTGCTGTGTCTGGAGGTGCTGAGCCTGCGCGTGCTGCGTCTGGAGGTGCTCTCGGTGTCCCGCCGCGGCGGGAGCCTCTCTCTCCACAGCAGCTTCGTGAGTGGTACTCTCGGCACTGTCGGGGTGCTGCTAGAGCTACTGGAGGTCTTGCTGGGGCTTCTGGAGGTGCTGCTGGTACTGGAGGTGCTGCTGGAGCTTCTGGAGGTGCTGCTGGTGCAGGTGCTTCTGGTGGTGCTGCTGGAGCTGGAGGTACTGCTGGAGTTTCTGGAGGTGCTGCTGGTGCTTGTGCTGCTGGAGGTGCTGCTGGTGCTGAGGGTACTGCTGGGGCTTCTGGAGGTGCTGCTGGTGCTGGTGCTGCTGGAGGTGCTGCTGTTGCTGGAGCTGCTGGAGGTGGTGCTGGTGCTGGAGCTGCTGGAGGTGCTGCTGGTGCTGGAGCTGCTGGAGCTGCTGGAGGTGCTGCTGGGACTGGAGACCCTGGGGCTGAGGGTACCGGTTCTGTCTCTGCTGTTTCTGGAGGTGCTGTGCGGCCGCGACCGTACTACGTTCCGCTTCTTCAGCAGGTTCTTGGCTCCCCGCTTTCTCCTGGTCCTCCTCCTCCTCCTTTACTGAGTCCACCGCCTGTCCAGTCCCAGTCGCGGTTTCAGCCCGCCTCTCCACTGCCTGGTCTTTCTCCTTACTCTGGACCGACTAGTGGTCTTACGGAGCGTCGTGAGCCTGAGTCTCGTCCTGCGTCGCCTGTCCGTCCTGTTCGCGCTGGTCGTGTTTCGCGTCTGCGTCCTCCTCCTGTCCCTGGCACTCACTCTATGACTCTGCGTCCTTCCACTGCTCCACAGCGTGTCCCTCTGCCGTCTCCTCCTGCGTCCTCTCTTCCTGCCAGTCTGGACCCTGCGTCTGACTCCCTACGTGCTGCTAGTCCAGCTGTCACGCGTTTTCTGGCCACTACTGTCACTGACCCTGTGTTTGAGTCCACTGCTGCGTCTGCTCTTGTTGCTGAGCTTGTTGACTTTGTTGCAGCCTGTCGCCTAGACTACGCCGCTCGCCTTGTTACTGAGTCTGCGTCTGTGTCTGTCTGTCCTCCGTCCGTCGGGGGTGAGAGTGCTCTTGGCACGGACGTTCTTGAGGACAGACAGGAGGAGTTTGAGTGCTTTGCTGCTTCTGTACCTCATCTCGTGTCCATGCTGCTTGCCCCTGAGGGAGACCCGGATGCACCAGACATCCCGACCCCGCGCTCTTACGCAGAGGCGATTGAGGGTCCCTACTCCTCTCAGTGGCAGGCAGCCATGGACGCCGAGATGGCTTCCTGGAAGTCCACAGGCACCTACGTCGACGAGGTTCCCCCGCCTGGGGCGAACATCGTCAGTGGCATGTGGATCTTCAGGGTGAAGCGGCTGCCAGGGTCTCCGCCTGTCTTCAAGGCGCGTTACGTTGCTCGTGGCTTCAGTCAGCGACAGGGAGTTGACTTCTTTCAGACCTTCTCCCCTACCCCAAAGATGACCACTCTTCGGGTACTGCTGCACGTAGCTGCTCAGCGTGACTACGAGCTCCACTCGCTTGACTTCAGCACAACCTTTCTACAGGGCAGCCTGCACGAGGAGATCTGGCTGCGTCGCCCACCTGGCTTCACTGGGTCGTTTCCAGCTGGTACCCAGTGGAGCCTCCGGCGGCCAGTCTACGGTCTCCGCCAGGCACCTCGTGAGTGGCACGACACACTCAAGACGACTCTTGCTGCTCTTGGTTTTGCTCCTTCCACTTCTGACCCTTCTCTGTTCTTACGCACTGACACTACTCTGCCGCCGTTCTACGTTCTCGTGTACGTAGACGACCTTGTCTTTGCTACTGCTGACACTGAGGCACTCGCCCACATAAAGTCCGAGCTGCAGAAGAGACACACATGCACAGACCTGGGTGAACTGATAAGCTATCTTGGCTTGCGGATCACCCGGGACAGAGCACAGCGCACCATTACCTTGACTCAGTCACACATGGTGCAGCAGGTCCTTCAGCGCTTCGGCTTCACGTACTCCTCGCCACAGTCCACTCCTCTGCCTACCGGTCACTCGCTCTCAGCTCCACCTTCGGACGAGTCCGTAGAGCCGAGTGGCCCGTATCCAGAGCTTGTGGGCTGCCTCATGTACCTGATGACTTGCACACGACCTGACCTCGCATACCCTCTCAGCCTTCTGGCTCGCTACGTGGCTCCCGGCAGGCACCGAAAGGTGCACTGGGATGCTGCGAAGAGGGTGTTGCGATACTTGTGCAGTACATCGGGCATGGGGCTCGTGCTTGGAGGACAGGCTCGACTTGTCCTCACTGGTCACGCAGACGCCTCCTGGGTTGACGACTTGACTACGCAGCGGTCGTCACAGGGTTACACCTTCAGTCTTGGCTCCGGTTCTGTCTCTTGGCGGTCTACCCGTTCTTCCTCTGTTCTCAGCTCCAGTTGTGAGGCTGAGATCTACGCTGGGGCCATGGCTGCACAGGAGCTACACTGGCTCACCTACCTGCTGACCGACTTGGGAGAGGCGCCTCGTTCTCCTCCAGTTCTGTACGTCGACGACAAGGCCATGCTGGCCTTGTGTCAGGAGCACAGACTCGAGCACAGAACGAAGCACATTGCTTTGCGCTACTTCCTTGCTCGAGAGTTGCAGCAGCGCGGTCAGCTTCGTCTTGCCTACGTGGCCTCTCAGGCCAACACTGCTGATGTTTTCACCAAGGCACTTCAGCCTTGTGATCATCAGCGTTTCTGTACTGTGTTAGGCCTTGTACCCACTGTGCCTCACTTGTTGACTTCTTGACTCTGCTTGTATTGTACTCTATATACTTATACCTGCATGCTTACACTTACTAGGTTGTGTTCACTGTATTGTTTGCTTTCCTTTATATAACTCTGCATGTGAACTGGCCTTGTGGCCCTTTGCTTGTGCTCAGACTGTGTGGTGATTTTGTGATCCACCCTGAGCTTGCTTTACCTTCTTGACTGGTCTTGTGACCCTTTGTTCTCCCCCACTTTGCCTATGGGGGTGTGTCAAACTTATGTATGCTATAGTCTGTTTAGGCTGTAGTGGGGTAGTTCTTAGAGGGTACAACACTTTGTGTTTCCCACTTGTACCCATCTCCTTTTCTAGTTCCATTCATTCTTCTCATTAATTCTCGCAAAACCATGTTGAAAGTAATGAACGAGAATGAATGAACTAGCAAAGAGTTGGGTACAAGTACTAACCCTAATTGGGTT